AAAAAAAAAAAAAAAAAAACACATCATAGTAAAACCGATACCTTCTCAGCTTCGCATCGAAGCTAAAATTGGTGGATAATTCCAAGAGCAACATAATCTACTAGTTCCTTAATTATATCCTGATTAAGATAAAGTATGATAAAGTATGAAAAAGGGACTATTAAAAAATATTATTTCACATTAAAAAATTATGTTGATCCATACACTTTTCAATAAGTTATATCATTATAAAGTTAAAAATGTAAAAAATAAAATCGAGAATTTTCACACAATAATAGCATTTGGTAGCTATTTTCAACATAAAGACAAAATAAAGTTTGAAAATTTTTTTTGCNAGACAAAATAAAGTTTGAAAATTTTTTTTTGCATAATAAAGTACATTACATTAGCTTTAATTTAAGATATATATAAAAGTGTCAGACTTTCCGGAACATTTTCAAAAAATAAGTTGAAAAAGTAAATTTTTTGTAAAAAAGTTGTCATTTTAAATCCCCCCCTGTGGGCAGTTAAAGGGTCAAATATACAAAAAAAAATTAACCAAATGAAAGGTAATGATATCATGCATCTATATATAAAAAAAAAATTATATTGATATGTTCATTTTTAAAAAAGTTACGGCAGTTTTTAGTAAAAAAAATTGAAAAAATTTTGAAAATTAGCGATTTTTAAATTTGTAATTTTTTTGGGTGATTTCCCCCATTTACGGGGAACGAGGGAATTTTTTTCAATTTTGGAGGGTAATGTCTTCGACTAAATACAATTTGTGATCTTTTGACGTATTGTTCATCAAAATTGACTCCAGTTATTTAATTGTTTAACATTATTATTTTCTATGAACTTTTATAAAATTGTTCTATTTTGTATTATCAGTATGTAATTATCATCTGCTACCATAGTTTCGAATGTTTTTAAATCAAAACAAATACTTTCATTACTTTAAAGTGTATTTATATGATAGATTTGAAACTGAATACCTTAAATCTTAAAAGAGATAAAANCGATAGATTTGAAAGTGAATACCTTAAATCTTAAAAGAGATAAAAAATACAATGAGCTTAAAAAGAAGTAACAGTTGTTCTGACATAACTGGTGATGCAACATTACAGTGCTTGGCTAATGGCATTAACTATCCTATTGGAGAGACTGAGGTAGATTTTTTCTTTAGGAAATAAAATCAATTTAAGTGTTAAGATGAACTTATTAAAAATACATATATTTTTATATGAAAATAATATCTATATTAACTTTAAGCCATCTTAACTTTGTTTTATATTTTACAATATACTTTATTTTTCTTTAAAATGGTTAAATTGATATATTATAACTCTTCAGTTTGTTATTGGACGTTCCCTTGCCTGTTCACTTGTAATTGAAGATAAATCTATTTCACGACGACATTGTTNCCTGTTCACTCGTAATTGAAGAAGAATCTATAGCACGACGACATTGTTTTATAAATAAATCCAATGGCCAATATCTTATTTCTCACAATGTAAGACTTAAAACTCTTATTGCATGTATATATTAATTTATCTATCAAAGAAAATAATTAATTCTAAGTTGATAAACAATATCTGTACTACAGGGAACAGACAATGAAACTTATGTAAATTGTGTGCAAATTCCTGATGACCAAAATAATTATCAAGTTTTAAATCACGGAGATGTTATTTCCTTTGCAGATGGGAGTGGAAATATTAAATATATGTACAGATTTGTTTTACAAACATGTACAAACAAAAAATTGAAGTAAGTTTATTCTTAAGACATCATGTGTGTAAGTAATTTGTATAATATAGATAAAGAATACACTAATATAATCAAATCTATTATTCATTTTATTAAACGCCATCAAATAAATTGATTATTATAAACACTGTCTAAATCAAAAATATCTGAAAAATATTATTTTAATTCATTCGTTTAATATAAGTCGGTTATTTTTATTATAAACTTTCTAATCGCTTAATATGATAATTACAAAGAGTATGAACAATATTTGTTTATAAAACTTTAAATATAGATTTTACATTGACACGGCACCGCCCGTCGCTCTAGGCTGGCGCTCATCCGTGTCTCTCGCGACATCAGCCGTCCAGTTATTAATATGACAATCGGTTGTCTCCCCGCCCTTAACACTGAGATAAGGTCACCGCCGCCGAATATGGATAACTGATATTGCGCTCTGTTTCGGTTCCGACGTTGACCTTAACTGGTTTGCCTTTTTCTTGTGTGCTGTTTGTGTTTCATTATTTTCCCGTGTTTTTTTTTTTTTTTGGATTGCGGCGAGTGTGCTCATTATCGATATTACCGACGACAGAAGAGTAGTTACCCAATGTTAAATACGTATAACATTGTTCGAATTGAGGAAAATATCTAATATTATAAGAATCAACTATTGTCTTCCCACGTTGTTTCTTTGTTTTTACTGTTGTGCTTGTGTAAATATACACATAGACATAAATATATAATATATATATATACCTTGAGTGCCGTACCATTTGGATACGCGTTAACTGGCTCCCCGAAGAGAAATCTCAACCGGCCGAGAGAAGTTAAGGTAAGAGGCTTTGAGCCGATTCAGTTTTATTTCTAATTATATTAGATTTTAGTTTTAACGTTGAAGTCTCCCTTACAAATTTGATAGTTCATATAGTTATTTGAACGGATTTCACTGGTGACAGCAGTGAATTTTTACCTGGGTTATTCACAGTTACGTGTTAGCGGGATTAGATTGTTAGCCTGGTCTCTGGGAAAATTTTCTTTTATAAAAATAAAGTTAGAGCAGTTTATTTAATATAATCTGCCGTAAATATTGTCGTTTAAGGCCCGTTTCACACTAGCGCGTATATTCTTGTAAGCGCAGCGTTTTTTTTTTTTTTGTTTCACACTATACCGCGTTTTTGCTATAGCGATTTCTATTTATTTTCAAAATGAATGTCAGATAAGATGTATGTTGGCTTTTGCGGCCTATAGGCACATTTTAAAAAAGAATACTTCAAAAAAAAAAAAAATAGGCGATTTTGGGTTCACCCGATGCTGGTTCAAACACCTCTTAATGGCACTTTTGCAACCCTTTTTTCTGAATTAAAAGACCACGAAGAGAAATGTTTTAATTATTTCAGAATGTCGTTAAAATCTTTTCATGAACTATTTTCGAAGTTAGAAAAGGGGCTAACCGTAAATAGTAACTTTCGCGTACCTATTTCTCCGACAGAAAGGCTGTGCATGACATTAAGGTAAGTAATAAATATTACTTAAAATAAATTTTTTTTTAAGGAGCTAATTTTATAATAACTACCTAATAGTTATCAATAAAATGACGGGGAATTGATGTTTTTTCTATAGGAAAATATTAGGGGTTTAATAAAAGTAATTTTTTTTACTTAAAAAAAATCTATTAAATTGACAATTCACATTTTGAAACTTTTATTATTAAAACACGATATTAGGTGGGTAAAATCTAACAGTATTTGTAATTACTCAGAAATCATACTGACGTTTTTTGAATAACTACTGACGTAATATTTTAATTAGCTCGTATTTATAGATACTTAACATCGGGTAATTCATTCACAGACCTTCATTACTCCTATAGAATGGGAATATCTACTATTAGTAAAGTAGTAGAAAATTTATGCAGCGAATTATGGGGACTTAAATCTTANCAGCAAAATAGTAGAAGATGTATGCAGCGAATTATGGGGACTTAAATCTTAAATTACGCCTTTGCCGGCTCAGCAAAAATGTAAAGAAATTGCTTTGAGTTTTGAAAACGATGCTAACTTTGTAAATTGCATTGGCGCTTTGGACGGAAAACATATTCGCTTAATTAACCAATCCACATTGGATCAGATTTTTATAATTACAAACATTACTATTCAATAGTTCTTATGGCTATTTGTGATGCAAATTATTGTTTTACTTTTATTGATGTGGGAGCTCAAGGAAAGTGTTNATTGTTGTGGGAGCTCAAGGAAAGTGTAGTGATTCAACAGTTAAAAAAACAAAATTAAAAAAAAACCTAGAAGATAAAGAACTTTTTGTACCACCACCGAAACCCTTAACCGGCCAATGAAATCCATTACCGTTTGTAATAGTTGCTGATGAAGCTTTTGGTGTATCTCAAAGCATACTTAGACCATATGCACGAAGCAATTTGAATTACAAAAAGGAAAGTATTCAATTATCGCTTGTCTCTAGCAAGAAGATATATAGAATCAACTTTTGGAATACTTTCTAACAAATGGCGAATTTTCCATAGATCGATGAACACAAGTGTAGAACTTTCTATAAGAATTGTTAAAGCTTGTTGTATATTGCATAATTTTGTCAGGGATAGAGATGGATTTAGATTTGAAGACACATTAAGTATTAATGGTTTTGAAAGTGTTAATGACTCAATCGATGTTTATAATAGATCAGGTAATATATTAAGGGACCAGTTTGCCAATTACTTTATAAGCGAAGCTGGTAAAGTAGAATGGCAAGATAGAATGATTCATTAAGTCAATAAAAGTAATGTGCTCAATAAGTTTATGTTAAATGTCTTCTTAGTACTACTAGTAATGGTCNGTGTCTTCTTAGTACTACTAGTCTTTAGTATTAGTCTTTGATTTTTATTCTTTTGGTAAAAAGTTTTTGCCGCAAGAATTATTTTTACTAAAAAATAACATTTTTTTATAATTAACATTTATTAAAATTGTTCTTAGTATAAACATACAAATAAAAATTTTTAAAAGTAATATTTTATACATTTTTATGCTATTGATCTGGTCCCTGGCACTTTTCGCCTTTGCTGTACTTTGTCCACTGAACAATGATAATGGTAATTTTAAAATATTTATATTTACTATTCATAAACAAAAAAAATATGTAAACAAACAAAATAAATAGTTGAGATAAGTATAGATTATATCTGACAGTAATTAAAATCAATATCATAAAAATCGTATCGATGCATATCTGTAGATTGAGTTTAATTTTTAGAAGGAATTGTTGGGTTATACCAAAAACAACATTGACCCTAATTCCTTAATTATATCATGATGACTAGTTTTATGATTTATAAGTATAATAAATGAATAAATAAATAAATATTATAGAAATTAAAATAGTATGAAATTAATATTGAATATTTTGTATTGTAAATTTATAGGGTGATTAGATAAGGTGTCGGGACAATTTTTTAAATTTAACTTGTAATTTGTAGGGTAAAGCTTTAATTTAACATATGTTTATTTTGAATGCCTCCTTGTGGGCAGGTAAAGGGTCCAAAAATATACTTAACAAATAGAAAATATCTAAATGGTTTTTATTCGTCCATTTTTAAAAAAGTTGATAATTTTCAGTATAAAATAACGTTCCGGAACACTCTTAAAAACAAATGGTAATAATATTAAATGAAAAAGAATGATATATTCCAGTTATTCTCCCATTTTATGTCCTCTAACCTTATGCGTTAAGATAATCGTTTGTTGTGACCTACCTGTATGTGCACACATAATTTTATTTCATTGGAAACATTTTAATGGGATGATCGACCGCCCGCCCCCAGAGGGGACAATGCCTGTGTACAATATACACGCATAAATACTCACTTGCATCTTTTTGATCGTTGCTGTTCATAGCATCGCACCCCATTACAACACATTGCGCTACTCCTCTAAAGGTTGCTGCTCTAATATCCCTGTCCTTATACCTTTCATCCCTTGAATTCCACAAATTTGTTCTTAACTGAATCTCATTTATCAAAATTTCAGTGTCTATAATGAGAGTCATTTTTCGAGAACTTGCTAGGGGTAGAAGTCATGACAAAATGACGAAAAAATACAAGACGCGTACATCGTAAGCGCTAGTGTGAAACGGGCCTAAAAGTGTTGGTTACAGTTTGTTATAAAGACCTTATTGATACGGACAAGAAGTGAATTTCCGGCCGATAGTTACAGTCTTTTGGTAAAAATAGTATATTTTCGTCTGACCTTGTCAAAGCGGCCGATTCCCAGGTAACCGTTATTATTGTTGTTCACTCGCTGCCATATCATATACGGCGGTCCCGTACCATCTTATCGCGGTACAACAAAAGCAATAATAATAACGCTTGTTTTCTACTGCAGTAGCAAATTTGACCGTAAACGGAGATATTGTTTATCTGCGCTATCAACGTAGCATACATTTGATTATTAAGGTTTGTAAATAAACAAATAATATTCAAGGTCAATATGTCGGGGAAATCATTAGCACAAATGTGAATTGCGCTGAATTACGCCGCGAATGCGCTTTCAGACAGCTACCATGCTACGCAACGAAACCCATTATGCTGATTATGCTAGAGGAAAACATAAGTAGCGAAGGGAGGAATACAGCTACCGAAATTTTACCGCCCCGTACGCCGGTCGATAGCGAAATTCCGGTCCGCGAACCCGAAGTGAGGGTTTTAGACAACTCCACGGACCGTGTCAGCGAACTATCAGCGGCCCGGCGTAGCACCTTTACCGGGGCACACATCCGGTGAACCTCGCGCTACGCACATCAGACGACGAATCCGATGTCGAACGACCGGGGGAAATTACGCGCGCAAGCGGTCAACTAGGCGCACCGTACGTCGAGGACGTAAACGTTGCCCGCTCGATAGCGCACGCGGCAGAACAAGTCTGGGCGATCCGACAGAACATTGGCGACATTTCGAATAACGCTCGGATCGAGGCACGTATGACTGAACTAGAAAGGTCGCTGTCGCGTGTGTCAATGGAACAGCGACAGATTTCAAACGTGTTGGAGCGAATCAGTCAAAATATGCTGCCGTCCCCACACGTTGCTGCACAACCGACTATTCGTCAAGTTAACGTAGAGCGAAGCGATAGTCGACGAACGGACGCGCATCGCGTTACATTCGGTCCATCGGAAACGACGGACACGAGCGCCTCGCGGACATCGAAGCGCAAGAAGCCCGCAATATGAGACGGTCGTACGGACAAGCGTCGCTACCACGGATATGTAGCACGGGTTGACAAGACGAACATTATACGCGCACTCATACATATGAGAACTAGTCGACCGATTTTTCGTTTACGCGCCAACCACGGGAGGGGCAATTTAACACAACCGACGGTCGTCGGTCTTTCAATGATTCGTCGCCTACCCGCAGCTCGCGGTCTGTGTTGGTACTGTAATATAGGTCATTATTTTGTAAAACTGAAAACAAAGCATTTTTGTAAAGTTTGATTTAACTATGAATTTCTTGATCTATTATTACAAAAAAATAATATAGTCTATTATTTGTAAACCTAGAAGTAGAACACTTTTGTAATGTTTAGATTAATTGTAATTCCCGAATTATTGTTACTATCAGGGAGTAAATATTTATAAACATTTTTGAAAATGATTGCTATATGAATTTTATTAAAAGAAAAACAAAATATGTTAGTATATAAGATGAAATGGAATGAATTGAAGGAAGGAGAAAGAGAAGACCTCGGGAGTACCGAAGGTAATCTCTTTCCGTGTGGTACGTTTGTGACATTAAGTTTTTATTTTGTGTATTATTTATTTATCCGGTTTTAAGTGTATCAATGTTTTATATGTTTTATTTTGATTGATTATATCTTTATTAACTACATTTTGCGTTATTATTGAACTACTATAACTATAAGTTTAGAACAAAAAGTTTTAATCTATATTTAAATACAACAGTATCTTACCTCGACCTAAGCACCGTACGCAGCTGCTTACCTGAATATTACGGGAGAAACGAAGAGGACCCACGGGAGTTTCTAGACAGAGCGGAAGATCTACTCTGTCATCTATACACCCAACCGCGTGGGTGAACATCGTCGTCCCGTTTCTGAACGACAGGGCAGGTGATTGGTGGCGAGCGATTAAGTTAAACAATATGCCATGGGCGGAATTTAGGTCCGAATTACTCGAGGAGTTCGACAATATCGATATCAGCACTGCGCTCGAGACGGACTTAAAAACGACGCGACAGGGCCCCCGACAAACGTTAACCGAGTTTATTATTCATAAACAACGTTTGGCGGCCGTGCGAGTACGTTGTGGTTTACCGGAGCAACAACTTGTGCGACAGTTAACGGGGCTTTTACGGGACGATTACCGCGCTATGATACGGTTAATGCACCCAGCGTCTTTCGCCGATCTACGTGAGATAGCGCACGACGTAGATAAAACCGCGGCTCCTCGGTACGCTCCGCCAGCGTCCCGACAGCGAGTGGGTTATGCAAACGCGGACGCACCCCTAACCCGTGCCGATATTGCGGCGAGCGACACTGGCACTGCCAGTGCCCAAACAGACCGTCGGTATCGGGAAACGGCAATCGGCTAGGAGGGAATTAGTCCGCCCCTCCAGCCTACAACAGAACCAAACAGGGCGCAGCGTTTTAGATGACGTTTCGTTTAAAACGATCTTGGCACTTTTTCGGCACCGCACCCCTCTTATGGGAATGGAGGGGACGCCGCGGTAAATTCGGATGTAATCAGGGTATCGGAGTTCGATATTACTTGGCCGTGATTTTCTGATTGATCAGAAAGTCGTCTGGGACTGCTCAGCAGGAATAATACACCTAGGCAATAGGAAACGTACAACCGCTTGTTGGAAATCGGGCGCACGACACACGATCCGCAAACCACATCTGACGCAGTTAGATATAACCGGCGACCCACGAACGAGCGCGTTATTAACACAGACGATATGTAATTACGCAGCGGTCTTTAACGACACACGGTGGGTCGCACAAAATTGATCGAACACGACATTCTATTGAAAGACCCGCTCCTATCGCACTAAAACCGTACCCCTACCCCCTACATAAGCAGGAGGTTATTGACGATATGGTAAACGACAACATGGAGGCGCAAGGGCTAATAGAACCGAGTGTATCGCCGTGGTCAGCACCGATCGAGTCCATCCGCGTCCTATCGGTCCCACGGAATATCTACGTAGATGCCTCGACATATTTAATTGGTATTGTCAATTCGTCGACAACTACACCGAAACAATAGCGCCACTGAAAAATCTAATAAGAAGGGGGACGAAATGGTTGTGGACGGAAGACCATCAAAGGGCTTTAGAACAGGTAAAAAAGGCCCTGTGTGAGTCCCTACGTCTGAGTCCTCCTGACTACACCAAAACTTTCTGCCTTCAAACCGATGCGAGTGAAATGGGCGTGGGAGCAATACTCTTTTAACGCGAAGATGAACTGGGAGAGAGAAGAATCATATCCTACGTCAGTAAGAAACTATCAGAAACGCAGAAATGTTTCCGACGTTGACCTTAATTGGTTTGCCTTTTTCTTGTGTGCTGTTTGTGTTTCATTGTTTTCCCGTGTTTTTTTTTTTTGGATTGCGACGAGTGTGCTCATTACCGATATTACCCACGACAGAAGAGTAGTTGTCCATTGTTACATACGTATAACATTGTTCGAATTGAGGAAAATATCTAATATTATAAGAATCAACTATTGTCTTCCGACGTCGTTCTTTGTTTTTACTGTTGTGCTTGTGTAAATATATATACACATAGACATAAATATATAATATATATATACCTTGAGTGCCGTACCATTTGGATACGCGTTAACATTTAATGAATAATATTGTTAAAAAAATGAAAAAAATTATTCCTTTTTAAATTTTAACTTTTAAACTATGCTTTGCTCACAAAAAATTATTAAAAAAACTTGCATTCACGGTAAAATGCTTTTTTGCAAAATTCAGAATTATGCTTAAAATATTTCATTCATATATACCCTATTCTTTTAAAACTACTCTGGTTTTTGTGTTTAATTTTTATCAAGTTAGATGTTTAAATCAATTGCATTTATTTTTCAGACCAAATAATGAAGTACACGATGAAGAACATGAATCTAGTAAAAGTCAATCTTATATTGACAATATTGTAAGTTTTAATTCTGTGGATGATCTTTTTTTTACAATTAATTTCTTTAAATGAATACAAAAATTATATATTTATTTTTAATTTTTACTTATGATACGACCCTATTTCGGTACATATCCAACATAACATATCTAACAGTAACCCAACATTTTTATTAGTACATATCCCATTAGAAAAAACTAATTAAAGTATAATGGAATCAAATAATAAAGTTTATTAATAATAAAATAAAATAATAATAATAATAATAATCTATGGATTCAAGATATGTTGAGAATGTCCATCAAGGAGGTGACAATGTGCTATAAACATCATGAGAATTATAATTTTTTAAATCACAATTTTATAATAATAATAAGTTCAAATAATATTAATTAGATGTTAAACATTCATATGGTAGTCCTCAACTGCTTGTTGCACTACATTTTCACAAACAGTTTTCTGTAAGAATGTGTATATTAACATTGTCAGCGGGTCCCTGTATATCTATCTGTAATAAGCATGAATGCTGACCAAGCTGTTAAATGTTATTGACTGAACCAAGATTTGTGCACAAAATGTGACCGTATCACTTATTTAAATCCAATTTTTTAATTATTAGTTGATTCATTTTAGCTGAAAAGTGAAAAAGCATCAATGAAGCGTTTTCTAAATGCTAAATTAGATAAATTTAATAAAATAATTAATCAAGCATCAAAAAAAGTTAAAAAATTGAAAAAAACACTTCTAAAAGTAAATATATTTTAAGTAAATATAACTTAACCACTAGTTTATACATATTGTATTATTTTCACACAATAATTTTTTTTTTTATTAACATTTACTATAATTAAAAAAATATATATAGAATGTATTAGTTTTTAAATTAGTTCTAAAATCATGTTTTATTAACCTATATTTTTGTATTAAATCATATTAAAAAAAATTTTTTCCGCAGCATAAACTCGCTAATTATGAATTAACAAAAAAGAATTTAGATTACCAAAATACTTTAAAAATACAACAAGGTGATTATATAAGTATATATATTGTTATTAACTTACTTTATTTAATTTTACACCTGTTTAAGCAAAGTCGCATGATATTCTTAGTATATAACATGAAATATACTGTGTCTTAATCTGGACTTATTTACCTGTATAAAATATATAAGTGAATAACCTATGAACTCCATTTATTTATTTTTTGGATGGAGTTCACGTAATGGGGTATAAATTAATTTTGGGCTTATATATTACTATTGTATTAAATTGAACATTAGAAACATTGGTAACAATATCATGTCCATATGGTCATTGATTATTAACTAATTATCAAAAGCAGTTACATATAACACATACATTTTTGTTTATAAAATATTACATTTTTTTATATTATAACAATTATAATTCAAATCTCTAAGAAAAATATAATTTATAATGCAATGTCATGTGTGGTCTTAATTGATTTTTATAAATATTTTAGAAATATCTTCATCACGTTTTAAAAATAAATAAATCTTATTTCTTATATTAAATATATTGATAAGAAAAAATATTAATTAAAAAAAAAAAACACCTATGGATTTAAGACATTTTTGAAAAAATTAATTTATCTTATTTTTCCTAAACTTTCAATTGCATTAAGGCTAATGTTAAATTACATTAAAAAGAGGTATTTATCAAATTATTATTAAATTATTATCATTTGTAATTCTATTTTCTAGATAAAATTTTTAAGTTAAACTTTGTTAAGTCATTTAATAGCTTCAACATACTTTAATTATTATCTTTTTTTTTTTGAGAAGTTAATTTTTTTGTTTGAATTATTTTTCTAGATCAAATATCAAAAATTGAAGAAACGATCAAAGACAAAGTCTATAGGGTTCTAGAAAGTGATTTTCTATGTCCAATTTGTAATGAATTAATGGTTAAGGTATTATTTTTACATTTAAATCCATTAATAGCGTAATTTTAAAACGTCATCATGTTAAAAGTTCTTAGCAAATTTATTATGTTACTTTGGTTAAAAAATGCATTTTGGAATACTTTTTAATCAATTTTAAGATTGTTAAATATTATAAAATGATATTAGAGATCTGAAAACTTTTTGAATTTTCTAATCCTAGAATTGTAAATAAAATTTCTGAAAAGTAAAGCTAAAATATTTTAACTAAAAAAATTATTTCTGATGAAAATTTCTTTTTTATTAGTTGAAAAAGTAAATAAATCTGTTTAAAAATCAATTGTAAAATTCATATAGTAAAATCTAGTAAAGTAATTTAAAATGCTTTTCTTTAGGTTAATGTACATATTTTTATTTTGAACTAACAATTAATATGATTTCTAAACATATGAAGACACAAATTTAAAATAAAATTTACTCAATCTTCTAAGATAAAAAACGATTTTACAATTACTTCATTTACTTACATTTACATTACTTTACCATGACGTGTGACATTTTAAAGTAAATTTGTTTATGAAAATAAAATTCAATTTAAGTAAAATGAAAAATATTACTATGTCATTGATATATATTAGTATTTTATAATTTAGTAACTATATTATCCAAAATTTAAATGAGTTTTTAAATTTTGTTTTTAATAAATTAGCTTCTAAGAGACTGAAAAAAAAATCATATATTTCATAATTATACCAACAAAATTATTTTATTTTAGAATTTGGGTTTGAAGTTTAAATAAAACATATTTTATCTCAAAATGTTAGTTCAAGAAAACTTGAATTTTACGCATCAATAAATTAGATTAAAAAAATGATTTTAAATATCTCATTATCATTGGGAAATAAATAAAATTTAGTCATAAATTGTGAAAATGAATATTTTATATAAAATTTAATATGTAAATTTGTTTTTTTTTTTAGGCGTGTACAATTAATTGCAGCCATACATTTTGTGAAGTTTGTTTAAATACTTGTTTTGCAAAAAGGCCTGTGTGTCCTATTTGTCTAACTTTAGTTAGAACCAAAACTCTTTGTCTAGCTCTGGATAACTTTATTACTAATATGTGTAATCTTCTTGGGAATGAAATAAAAGAACATCGGGAAAAAGTACAACAAGAAAGTAAGTATATTTGAACATTTATTAACTTATATTTATTGTTATAACTATTTTTAGAATTGACAGTTAATGTCCCACGAGTAGAGTATGCACCACAAACTGCTAGAAGAGGTGGTAGAAGAAGAGGTACAACTCAACGTCGAAATACACAACCTGCACATGTTCAATAAGAAATAGTGCAAAGAATTCATGAAGTTATGTTTTGATAAATACCTGAATTTTTGACTGATGTAATACATTTTAAACTTTCCAAAAGAAAAATTACTTTTTACTCTTTCATATTTTTAGAAAAATTGAACAAAATATAATTAAATAATTATAATTATTCATGTGAATTTTATAAATAATTTTAGTTTGTTTTTGTACAACTTAGTTTAATAAACTCATACTACATATGTAATATTTAAACTTTGAATTTAAAATTGTTAAATTTTATATAAAATTAAGATAATTTACCTTATTGTTAAAAATAAAATATTTTCTATACATTATCTCACCTATTGTATTTTAAATTTTAATTAAAAGATATTTGATACCAAGCAAAATGATAGGTACTTTTTTAACAACTATGAGCACAATAACATATTATTTAATGTTTTTAATACAAATATAAATAAGCATAAGTATTTTAATTATATTTTACATGAACTCTATTAAATAATAAAATAAAACCTTGGGAGCTAGAGCTATTGGTTGGTACATAAGAATTTTGTTCGCCACCCGTTTCCTACTAAAGCGGTTAGCCCATATGACTAATAATAAAAAATAACAACAAATTTCAATGATAGATATCTAACCATAAAAAAAAGAAAGATTACCATTCATCTAATTAATATGTTTTTTTCTGTATGATATGATTATTGGGAGAAAGTGTTAACGGAAAAAAGTGCAACCCCATCGAACACAGTAAACCCTTTTTTTTTTTTACTACCCCCTGAATGATTGTGGGCCGCCCTGGAACTGCCGTTAGGCATTACTTCAGGGCGGCCCACGCCGTCTATAAATCACACCACCACGTTGTGAATCAGCCCAAAGTTAATCAAGAGCTGATTCACAACGTAGTGTGGCCTCCCCTTTAGCCGGATCCCTGAGTGGGATCCGTTGCCCAGGTTGCACCGCGTGGAGGTGGGGACAGGACTTCGCGTGGGTTGGCCAAATAATTCACAACACTATACATAAAACACATAATATACCTACGGCGCCAGTAGCGCCGCAGGTCATCCTACCCTTGGCAGTCTCTGCCACAGGCGTTCGGCCTCCTCTTTTTGGCTCATCACCGGTTCGGCGAACGCCTGAACCAGAGACCACCCCTCCTGGCTTCTCAGAATCAGGTCTCATCATGGACTCGACGCCGAACGCGGACCCCGAGCGACACTCCAACTCTTCCCGCTCGCTGGCCCACGCCTCGCACCGGAAGAGCGTATGCGATGCATTATCCGCTTCTCCCGGCCAGTGATGGCACGTCGGCGCGGATTCTTCCTCGGCCAGTCGTCGGCGCCCGTTGGACACCGTGATGTTCCGGAGCTGCAGCCGGTCCTCCGCGCGAAGCGGTTGACCGGTGCTTTTCCGGAGCTCGTGTCCGTTGGCGCGTTCGACGGCCAGCAGGTCCGCGGGCGGCAGAGAAGCCAGGACTCTTGCCTCCACTCCGGAGACGGTGCGATAGGCGCACACGGTCCGGATGGCTCCAACGGGTACTTCAACCTACAGAATTGTTTGCGTACATAAAAAAACAATAACATACAGTAAATTTATTATTAATATAATGCGTAAAATGTTCACCAAATCGTTTCCACTGGCATACTCACCACCACACAGTGGGACCAAACGCTGATTTAGCCGGCCAAAAGTACCATTTTTAAATCAACTAATAAAATTTTTTTTTTATTATATCCTTATAAGGTCATGTACAAAAATTCAAGGCCAAAAATTGATACAGTAATGGTTGAGTGCTATTTAAATATCACAACACTGTATTTTTTTGTTTTTTTTTCTAGGATTTTTATTATTTCTTCAATCATTTTTTCCTGCTTAATTAAAAACCTTAATTTTTTTTTTTTNAATATCACAACACTGAATTTTTTTGTTTTTTTTCTAGGATTTTTATTATTTCTTCAATCATTTTTTCCTGCTTAATATATTGAAAATATATATATTTACAATATACAATATATTATGTTTATTAAAAACTTTATTTAAACTTAATTTTAACGAATCATTAGTTTTAATTACATCTAATTTTTACAACTTTTAAGCTGATAAAGTTGATTGAACTGATAAAACCAATGAAATTATTAAAATTACAATTTTTACGAAAATACACGTTTATTATAGGGAAATTCTATTTGCACGGCTCAAATTCAATCTGACGCTTTTACACGTAAATGTAAAGCAAAATATAACTTTTTCATTTTTTTTATAATTTATCCGTATAAATTACAATATTAAATTACTGAATATCAATTGTATACTGAATTTAATAATTATAACTAGTATTTATTCATATATAATATTTTATATATAAAGACCTACAAATCAGGATATAATCAAAGAAATAAGAGTTAATGTTGCTTTTGAAATAATCCACCAATTTCTCTAAATGAAACAATATCCACAGATTTGCATCGAAGCGTTTCTTACGACAGTGATTTTAATCACTGTCAGATATCATCTATACTTGTCTCATCTATGCCTCGTCCACACTGTGCCTCGATCCCTCTGTTCTACCGTTTTTTTAATATTAATTTTTACCATCAATTTAAATTATTCATTTACTACTATTTTCAATTATCTTCTTTTTGGTTTATTTCAAGAAGTAAAATTATTTTTTATTTTTCAAAATAGTTATATTTTAGGTAAAATNTTTGGTTTATTTTAAGAAGTAAAATTATTTTTTATTTTTAAAAATAGTTATATTTTAGGTAAAATTATATGTGGAATCAGCACAATCGAATAGTTATGATTAACATAAAAAAATGTTTATACACTAGTTGAAATTTTACTGAGCTGGTTTATCTAAACAATGAGTTCAACAGTATTTTTTAATTAAAGAATAATGAACTTAAATACTACCATACTTAAATAAAGTGTATTTGAATAATGTCTCAAAATATTTTTAAAAAATTTAGAAATATGACTCTTTAAAAGAAATAATTTTTGTTTTTACAGAAGGACTTTCCTTTAAAATAATTTTAGTTGATTACTAGAGAGAAAATAGAAATGACTCATGCAGGTAACCATATTTTAATCCCACAAAATACTATATAATTAGTATTCTAATGAAAATGTTTAATGCATCTATTAATTTTATGAGATCCCTGTGTTCCTAGGCAGTTAAAGATGTGTTTAAGGGGTTTCAACACTTTTGAACAATTAGCAATTTTCCACTATAATTATTAATACATTAT